CTTAAAATGGGTGAATTTTGTGGTATGTAAGTGTTACTTCAATAAAACTATTCTTTGTTTTTAAATTTGGTGCCATTCTTATACATGGTGTCTGAGAGACTGAGAAAGGGTGGAATGGTAGAAAGGGAAGCGCAGGGGAAAAAAGGATTAGAAAAGAGCTGATGACTGAAAGTAGACATGTAAAGGTAAATAAACAGAAGGTAACAAAGCAACAACAAAATGATCTCTAATAAAGCACTTTGGTAAACTTTTCCTTGTCACACATACTTACCGGCATCTGGGACATAATTTTTTCCAAACTTCTCAGTTCCACCCTTGAACTTTCTATCTCTTGCTGACACAAATCCAGTCGTTCATTCTGTGTTGCAATACGAACCTTTAATTCTCGATTTTCATTCATTAGAGAAAATTTTTCTCTAAGTACTTCATCCTTGTCCTCTAACTCACTCTCTAGCTTCAGAATATTTTGTCTAGATTCAGTTAGTTGCGCCATGACTTCGGAATTTTTCACTGCCATGATCCTTAATTTTTCTTTTCCATTATTATTTTCTTCTTTTAACTCCCTAAGAAACAAAAATGAAAATATACATTCATTTTCAATAATCATATTTAGTTAATCTCACTTTTAAGATATTTTAAGGCTTAATTCTGAAATAATAATACTTGCTCACATTTACTAAGTGCCTACTTTCTGCATGCTAGGTACTCACAACTTAATGTGGTTGGCACTACTGTTATACCCTGCTCATAGATGAAGAAAATGAAGCAAAGAAAGGTTACAAAACTTGCCCAGTGTCTCATAGTAAGTAGTTGGGCAGAATAACCCCACTATCTTGGAAGCATTTCTGCTCCCTTTTAAAGTGTATGACAGGAAAGCTAACTCCAAAATCCTGACACAGTTTGCAATACAAAGAAGTTTCAGATAGCATAAGGAAAAATCATGAATTATTAGCCACAATTCTAAAAGACAGAGTCTAATTAACTATTAACAGATTACAAGGCAGTAATATTTTTTAATATCTATGTGTATCTATAAAAACATGTCACACATTTGAACAATCTAATGTTTAGAACTGTTATTGTATTTTATCAGTTCCTCTTTTCACATTTTTAACATCCTTGAAATGAGAAGGTTGTATTAGTGATTCTTGATGACATTAAGAATACATATTTTACTAACTAGCTAATGCGGTCACACTAAAAGGACATCGTGTCTGTGCTAATATTTTCTAAATATACTTAAAGCAAATATGTTGATCATATTACTTATATTTACAAGTATATTAATATCAACACCATGCTTCATTCATTTAAAATCCTAACTTTATATATAGAAAACAATTTCAGTTACAATGCCTATATCTTTCTATAAAATTTAAGGCCATAATTACAGTATTCAAAATATTCTATTTTAAAATGTTTCAGCTTTTCTCTATTTCCACACAAAAATCCTTTTCTACAACAGGATACTGTACCTTAATTTCTCTTTCAGAATTTCAAGTTCACTTTTATATAGACCACACTTTTCCTGTAGCCTTTTATTTTCTTTTTCACAGTTAATTAGATTTTTCTCTAATATTTCTTCTTCAGCTTGAACCTAAAACAATAATTTGTTTTAAGTGGACACACTAATGTGGTCATAAGTTGTAGGTGTTTCAAACTAAAATGTAGTGATTTCAGAAATAAGTAAGAGAGTGGAGTAAGTGTTCCACAAGTTTAAGTCCCCAGCCTTGTAGTGAAAGGAGCAAAGTGAACTTCCTAGGCAGTAACAAAGGACAAGGAGGAGGATGCTACTACCTGTCCAGAAAAGGTTAAGAACCTTCAACAGAGGGACAATGGCACGACTACCTGAAAGCAGAAGTGCTCTGGCATCATGTGGACAAGGCAAGCAACTCACGTAAAGATGCTGTACAAGTTACTACAGAATAATGTGACTTTAGTGCAAATGTTTCAGAGAGGTAATTTTTGAATTTTAGCCACAGAACACCCCAGTTAAATCGCAGCCCCAAATTTAAAATAGATAAAAGTCAAGCACCCAGGTTTGAGTAGGGGGAGGGGAGGACTGGACAGATCTGCCCCACTTCCATTGTTGTATCTATCTAACTACAGGTCTCTGCTGAGCAGTTTGAAACTCATAATCCTAAGGAGAAGTATAAAAAAATCATCTCTTACATTTTCCTCTCTTTCCTCTTTGAAGTCCTCCCTCTCCCAGAGGATGTTCCCCCACTAGGTACTCTATCCTACCTCCCCCTCCAGATTACCCTAGGAAGAAATCCCTTCTACAGTATTTCATTCCCACAGGGGTCTTTTCCAAGCCTTTCAAAATAGTGACCTTACTAATTTCACACTTCAGATTTCCGTATCTAATGGGCTCTTGATTTTATTTTAAACAATAATATTTCTTTCCTCTACGTTTCCTTGAACAGAATTTATAAATATTAGTTAAGGACATAAAGAATTTATCTGAATAACATTTTGAACATCCAACATGTGGCCTCCCTCGAAACAGGGTTATTAACTCGTATTACTTGAAGATACTCAATGAATGTAGTTAAGCCACTATAAGGCTACATAATCTACTCTGCCTTCATTTTCACTGAGGTGATGGGAACAAATTTCTTGCTTTTACGTCTGCAGCTCCAGGCTCTGCTCATTCACCCCACCTTTCTCTGTACTTTTTTCCTTCTCTTATCTTCTTTTCCTTATTTGGATAAAAAGTTTCAGCTCATTATAAGAAAATTGTGATTATACCTAATAGTTATAAATTCTTTGTTTTAATGATTTTATTATGAATGAGATCATAAAAATTACTCCCTGCTTTAACCATAAAGATATTCTACTGATGTCTATTTTTATTTTCAGAATATGAACAGTAATACAAAACACTGAATTTGCACAACTTCCTCCTACCTTTTCTAGTTTCTCAGCCACTTTTTCTTTATAATGTTGGAAAGCTTTACTCAGCTCTTCAGCATTATATAGTGCTTCATTCCTTTGTCGTTCAGCTCTAAAATTCAAAAAGGGATAATCAATAAAAAAGTAAAGAATGCTCTGCACTTGTATACTTAAGTTTCAAAGTAACCTGTATTTAATTGTAAGGAGTAACTAGAGAAGCAGATTTCTCTGTGCTAAAAAAGAGTATAAGTACAGGATCTCGTGGTGGCTCACAGCAAAAGAGAACGTGACAGTGAATGTATGTATGTTCATGTATAACTGAAACATTGTCTCTACACTGGAATTTGACACAACATTGTAAAATGACCACACCTCAATTTAAAAAAATGTTTAAAAAAAATAAAAATAAAACATCAAGTAGCTTAAAAAAAAGAGTACAAGGCTTACAAATGGCAAAATGAAGATTAGACTACAATAATCTCCCCACTCTAACAATATGAAAAATAAAATATAACACAGAACACTTACAAACACAAACTTGGAAACATACATACATTCTGTTGGTAATTTTTTCTCTGTCTGTAAAAAACAATTAGGGATGTAGCCTGAGGCTATTTAATAAATTTTCAAAGATCAGGTATTACAGAATTAGTCCACTGTCTAGTATATTAAAAATACTCAGTTAATTCTGTGATCTTTGCAAAGGCCAATTAAATTTTCAAAAAGGTATTTCAACAGTAACTTCTATTAATACAAGATATAAAATCTGAACAACAAAATCCAACCAGTACCAAGCACTGTCTTAGCCCATCAACGCTGTCGCACCTCATAGCTGACCCGGACCTTTCCTCGTACTTCTCACACTAAATTGAGACTACTAGGCTGGAACTTGATCAGCTTCATACTCACACCTAAAAACTTTTCTATATTCAAACCTATTTTCATCAATTCCTTTGAAGTTAGTGATTCTGCTCTTATTCAAGGTGAATTCCTTTATCTATACTCTGGACCTTAGCTCTTCCCTTTCAGGAACTTATTCTATCTTCTATATCCTTAGTCTCCTCTCTATTAGCTAACAAACTCAAGTGAAAGTATCTCTTACTTCCTGAATATATGTGGTTCTTAAGTTTGGATAGCAACTGTGGATATAAGAGATGTCTACTTGGTTCCAAGTTTCAGATAAAAAAATAGAGTTTAAACAATAAGGGATTTATTTGAAAATCTAAGAGAATATATTCCATTCCTTAGCTGGCAGAGCTAGAATTCAGAGAACCTGCATTGCTCACTTAAACAGACAAAAATCTCAACAGATATATTGCTTTCCTCTGCCATCCATCCTTTCAAGCTAAGCCTATTCACTTCACACGTACCTACACTTTCTCACCACCAATTTTTTCAAAAAGGTCATGATATTTTCAGCCACACAGAAAAGAATGGATAAATATATCCAGGTACTAGCAACCCAACTTTCATGAATCTTAAGTCTTTGCTATTTTTGTTTCATGTAGCCTTCTTTATTTTAGGTAAATAAAACATTACAAACATTACAGAGTTGCGGTCCTTGTGTGTTCTCCTCCAAATCCCATTCCCCTGACTTCTTCCACAGAGGTAACCCTAGTCTGACTTCGTTTTTTAATTACCATACATTTTGTACATTCACATGTTAACCTAAAAATCCACAAATAGTACATCATAGTTCATCTATTTTAATACAAATACTGTTTTCACGTTTTTTAACATCTCTAAAACTGATACATATTTTATGACTGATAGTATGTCATAGTTTCATGGTGATATTTTTTCTTAGTGATTATTAAAATAACAATTCATCTTAAAATCTGTGGAATCTTACATTCAATGAAATATCGTAGCCTTTTTCCCATGTTTTACACTTTATATGAATGGCACTACACTGTATACATCCTTCTGCAGAACTCTTTTGTTTGTTATCAGTATGTTCACCCATGTGACTATGGTTCAGTTTTTAAAATCGACTATATACTATTCTGTTGTATAAATACGATCATTTGCCTTCTTTTTCTAAGTTGATAGACATTGAGGTTGCTTCCAGCTAATACAAACAACACTGCAATGAACATGCCCGTGCACAGTTCCTGGGCAATACGTGCAAGAGTTTCTTTAAGACAAATAACTACCAGCTGAACTGCTAGACATTTTCCAAAAGGTATTTCAAAGTTGAAGGTACTAAGAAAGTGCACCTTCAATTTTATTAAATCCTTTAAAAAAATCAGTACAGCAATTATAACAATTTACTCTCCCAACCAGAAATGTGTATGAGTTTGTTGCATCACATCTTCACCCACATTTAGATTGAAGCAGTATAGAAAAACAATAAAATAGTAACCTAATTACGCTTCCCAACAATCTGTAATAAAGGCCGTTCCCCAAAAATGAGCCACTGAGAGGTTAAGTAACTTGGCCAAGATCTCACAGGTTATAGGGAATGGAATCTGTTTCCAAAATCTTTCTAGCTAACTGCTCTGCACTACTACCTTGGGCATGGATTTCAATCCAGGGGGCCCTAGCGCCACAGTGTTTGGGTTCAAATTCTACCTTTACCACCTTCTAACTGATGACCTTAACTTCTCTCTAATTCAGTTTCTTCAGCTATAAAATGAGTATATTAGTGATCTCATGTGCTTGAGGAATAAAGTTATAAACCTAAAGCATTTAGAAAAGTGTTTACACACAAGAAATGCTCATTAGGGTATTATAACTATCATCAAATTAAAAACTTTTGTCAACCTAATGATGACTGTAGCTTTACAACCTCACTGAAGTTTTAATTTGCATTTCTGATGACAGCAAGATTAAGCAACTTTCATGTTTCATTGGCCATTTGAGTTTCCTGTCCTTTACCTCTTCAGATTCTCTGTCTTCTGTTACTGGATTTTCCCCTGCTTTTCTCATTGATTCATGCGAGTTCTTTACAAATTCTGGATACTAATCTTTGTGAACTATATTATTTGCAGGTATTCTCCCAAGCATCTGGCTTGTCTTTTTTACATCTTAATTGATGTGTTTTATACAACAGAGGCTTTTATTTTAATGAACTTAAAATTAAGCACACTTTCCCTGTATAATATTTATGCCTTCTGACTCTCATTTTAAAACATTCTTCCCCATCATGAAAGAACCTAGAAACTATTCCCCTGTATTTTCTCTTAAAAGTTTTACCTTCACAATTGGGCCTTTAATGCATCTGTAATTTTTTTTTAAATGCAGGTACAGTATGAGGCAAAAAAAATCTAATTTTTTAATCAATAATCAATTCTCCCAGCATCACTTTTTGAACTTAAAAAAAAAATTTTAAATCAGTACACCCTTAATGTGGATTCACCACTTTTTGACACTTTGCCACCATTGCCTTTTATCTCTCACTTGATTTTTTTGCACTAAACTGTATGCTAGAGTAATTACTTTACCCCTAAATACTTTAGCACATTATCTCCTAAGAATATGAATGTTGTTTCATATAACCACAAGTATCTACCAAACATACGAAATCTAAAATTGATACAGTATCACTGTCTAATACAAAATTCCCATATAAATTTTATCAATTATCCCAATAATTCCTTTATGGAATTTTCTTTCTTCTGATCCAGGATCACACACTGCTTCTAGTTATCAAGTCTCGTTAAGTCTCTTTAATCTGGAACATCTTCTCAGTTTTTCTTAGTCTTTCATGACACTGACAATTGTAAAGAATAAACAGTTGTTTTACAGAAGATCAACCTGAGCTTGTCTGATGTTTCCTCATGATTAGATTCAAGCTATTCATTCTTGAGAGGCATAGCACATAAACGGTGCTGTGCCCTTTTCATTGTATCACATATGAAACATATAATGTCAGTTCGTCCAGCACCTTAATTACTGATTCTTCCATCCTTTGCCCTGATTCGTAATGGCACCTGTTACATACCAAATTTCCACTGTATGTGTGCTTGCTTTAGAGTCTCTGTTCTGTATCACTGATCTTCTTATTGCTGTAACTGTATCATACTGACTTAATTAGCATAACTTTCTAAGTCTTGGTATCTATAGGCATGTTCTCCCCCTTGGTCCACAGCTTCAAAATTGCCTTGTTGTTCCTGGACCTGGGTTCCATATGCTTTTTAGGGTCAGTTCATTAAGTTCTACCAAAAATTCTATTGGGATATTGATTGGAAATATACTGAATGTATAAATTATTTTAGGAAAAAATGACACCTTTATATTAGGTTCCCATCCAGAAAAATGGTATATACCTTATTAGTTAGATCTTAAGACTTTCAATAAACCTTTATGACTTTCTCCATTGCACTATGTCTTTTTATTCTGATGTTTTGACATCTGGGGCCTTACTGACCCTAGGAAAACTGGCACTCCCAAGGCTAGCCAATTCTCAGAGACAGTAAACTCCTCACCTGGGCATGCACCTTTCACGTGCAAACTAAGTAATCCAGAGCCCACTCCCCGTTCCTCTATCTGGCTCTTACGCTCTGGGCCAAAATTCCTCATCACCCTCAGACCAGGTACCAGACAACTCAGGACAGTCTTACACTTCAGCCCACTGAGAGTATTCACACTAACCAATCCAAAGGCTGCTTACCCTACCTCAACCATTTCTTCCCACAGAAACCACAGTAAAATCTCTTTTCATGTTTTCCTCAACTCTCTCTGCCTCTTAATCAACCCTGATACTTCTCTGTATGGTCTACATGACATGTCATGTCTCCTACTTCTAGAAATCTGTGAGTATAAACGCTTCTTTCATGACAGCATTTTCCATGTCTGCATGTCTTTCCAGATCTGATGAAAACACATCCTGAGAACATTTTTAAAACTCCAGTAAGAGTGTACAAATCTTCTGTAGGTTTTTTCATATTTAACCTACAGTTTTTACTTTAATTTTTTATTGAGTAAAGTGCTCAAGTCTGAGGTGAATGAATCTGTATATATGTATATACCAACATAACTACTATCCAGATCAAATATAGAATATTTCCAGCACCCAAAAGGCTCCCTGTACACCCTCTCAGCCAATACTCTTTACCTAAAAAGGTACGCACCATTTGTATTTTTAATACCATATATTAATTTTGCCTATTCTTGAGTTCTTAAGAAAATACACAGGATTCTTTTACATCTGGTTTCCTTTGCTTAAACATTGTATCTGTGACATTCATCCCTATTGTTAAATACCTATAGTCGCTCTTGTTCACTGATGCCTATACTTCATAATGTGAATAGAATATTATTTATTGATTGATTCTATTGTTGATGAACACTTAGCTATTATGAATAAAACGACTTTGAGCATCCTTGCACATGTCCTTTGACAGATGCAGGCCTTCATTTCTGTTACTTATGTTTAGCTTTAGTAGATACTGGCGAACAGTTTCCCAAAGTGGTTCTATCAATTTATACTCCTACTGGAAATGTATTAGAATTCCAGCTGCTCCACAACATTCAAAACTTGACACTATGAGTCTTTCATTTTAGCCACTGTGGCCCATAATGGGACTGTTTCCTTTTGTCATCATCATCTTAATTATTTCACTTTCTTGTGGACAAGTTTCTGACTATTGACTCAGTATCTTTACAGGCTAGACATCTAGTAAAGTATTCAATTTATTCTCAAGTTAGTTTTGTTAAACTTTATTTTGTTGGAAAATAATTTAGTCTAAGTTTTCAAATGTATTATGCTGAAATGGTTCATAGTATTTGGCCTTTTTTCTTAAATCACAGCTAAATCTGTAACTTAGGAGTCCCTTTTCAATTCCAATATTGTTTTTTGTGTCTTTTCTCCTGGATTAACCTTGTCTGATGCCCATTATCTTGGTCACTATGAAAAGAACCAGATTTAGGCCTTGGGGATTCTCTATTGTTTCTTTGCTTTCTATTTATCATTTCACCCTTAAATATTTATTATTTAATTACTTATATTTTTCTTTTGAGGTTTTTTCTTTTATGTCTTTTTCCTGACTATATAAATTGCATGTTTTAGCTTATTCATATATTAATTTTAATATATGCACAGGAGGCTTAGTTTTTCCCTTAAGAATATCACAAGCTGTGATATGCAATATTTTTTACATCACTGCTTCAGGTTTTCTAATTTTCATCATAATTCACATTATTATAATGTAAAATCTCATTAAACTAAGAAACTTATAATCTCTACTAGTTTAAAAGTTAACTGATATTCGAAGTTAATGGTTATACGGTCAAGGCTACCTATAAAACTTTATCTTAGGGCATGGTTTATACAAAACAGGTATTTTGGCATTACTTATATATTCCTAAAGGAGACCCAACCACACTTACGAATTTTATTTAATTTCAGAAGTAAGTAAATACCGTTACACTGATAAACATTACCACGCTTTAAGGAATTAATACCAATTCAAAATACCAATAACATAAAGTTCACATGTGAAAATTTTGACGGAAATTTTTTTTTTAATTATTGGACAAAAAAAAAAGAACACTAAATTATCCTACTGCCAGATTTCTAAGAATTTTCCACTTCAAAAACCAGGTAGAATTTTAAATAGGCATTATATATTTCCCCCCTATAAAAACAATTATTTGCTTTAAAAACGCATACCTCTTTCCTTGTTTACTTTGTTCAAGTAAGTCTACCTTCAACTTTATACATTCCTGTTGGCATTTCTGCAAACTCTGTTCCTTTTCAATCACCATTTTCTGACTCTGCTCCAATTTATCTTCTGCCTCTCTATAAAACAGATTTTTTTAAAGGCTGTTGAAGAGATTATTCCAGGTATGCAAGAATAGTTCAACTTCAGGAATTCTATTCCCTAAATCACTCAGTTAAGAGAAATAAATACTTAACAAGAGATAGAAAAAAGGCATATTCATTACTTGTCAACTATGGGTTTTTATAAGGAATAAAAGGATACTTCTATCAAATGATTAATGTATCTGAAATAAAAGCTTATATCCTATTTAATGATCAGATACTAGAAGCATTATCATATCATATCATCTTAGTCTTTTTTAGCCCCCATTTTACTACATGTATCCTGCAGCCAAGAGGAAGTATGATGGACCAAAAATAGATTCAACAAGTTCTAAGACAGTATACAGACCACTA